CGGCTGTTGTCGGCACTGCGAGTGCCCGGTGCAGGCCGGTGTTGGTGCTGGGCGCTGCCGGCAACTCAGAGCTCAGCAGCAGGTCGGGTTCGGGGGAATCGGTCTCGTCCAGGGGATCGGCTGTGGTCGGCACTGCAAGTGCCCGGTGCAGGCTGGTGTTGGTGCTGGGTGCTGGTGGTGGTTCAGAGCCCAGCAGCAGATCGGGCTCAGGGGAATCAGTGTCGTTGCTGCTGGGCATTGCAGTGGCAGCATGGCTGTGCCCCGGCATGGCAGTGGTGATGCCGGGCTGCTGCCTGCTGTCGGCCCTCTTCCTGCGGGAGAGCGGCAGGGGCTCAGCCTGTGCCTGCCCGGCTGCCCCCCAGACCCACTGCACGCCGCGGTGCTGCCCCGGCTCCGGAGGCGGCACGGCCCCGCATGCCTGCAGGGTGCTCAGCACCAGCACCAGCATCACCAGCACGGCCCAGCACGGCGCCATGGGACCTGTTGGGGGGAACAGAGGGGGCAGATGAAATCAGGGCCCTGCTCCCTGCGAGAGGATGCTGAGCTCCATCGTTCAGGCTGGAAAAGGCCCCAAGGAGGGATTGCACATAAGCGGAGCATCCTCCTCCCCTCCCGGAGAGGGGCCCTGTGTTTTGGGGGCCTGGAGGATCTGATAAGCGACCTCCTCCAGCCATGGTTGGCAGAGCCGAGCTGCCTCCACCTGCGGGAGCTTGGCCCTGCCAGCTCCGCTTGCAAAGAAAGTTTTGAAAAGGAAGTTGAGTGTCTGGAAATGGGAAACGAGCCGCGATGGAGACGGCTGCTGCAGGACAGGCAGTTGCAGGATGACTCCCTGTGCAGAAATGAAACCGCAGGGATGTCGCACACATTTCAATTGACTCCCCTGGGGTGCCCATCTTCCCCCTCCACCAGCCAGGCTGGCATGGGGCTCCCGGGCCGAGGCGACTATGTGCCTGTGCATCTGTGCTGGAGCAGCAGGAGAGGCAAACCAGCCCCAAACCCACCCCAAATCCCCGCCTCGTTACACCAATGGCCCCCCAGCAGCCTCAGTGGGTGGAGGCCAGTGATGCCCCTGTGTCCCCACACCCAACAGCATCCAAACACCAGTCAATGCTCCCCCAGCGCCGAGCATCCCTGGGAGGCTCCCACGCCCCCAAAGCGCCCACCCGCCTCCTAAAAACCCCAGGGACCAGCACCGCACAGACCGTGGCACCCCCTGGGGACCTGTGCACGCCCCAAGGGGGACCCCAAGCAACCCCTTTGCACTCACACCATCCCCGGGGCAGAGCCCCAATCTGGCACCCCCCCCCACCAGGGCTCACCTCTGCCAGGGGACGCCGGGGGACCCCAAGCTGCAGCACCAGCAGGCATGACCAGCAAGGGCCCAGCTGTGCCGGCACGGCGGGGCGGGGGGGGACCCGCAGCCCGCAGCCCTGGGGCCGGGCAACCACCGAAACCCAAGGGGTGTCAGGGGCCGCCTGCGCCTCCCGCCCAGGCGGGGAAGGAAAGGCGGGCACAGAAGAGCGGGTGGGGGGTGGTGTTGGGTTTTTTTTTTCGTCACACCGGGAGCGGGGCCACCGAGGGCCAGGGGCTGCATGCACCCACCAGCGAGGGCAGCCGGGACGTGGGGTGCACGCCAAAAAGGGGACTCCTGCCCCTCCTCGGCATGCTGGGTGCCCTTGTGGGAGCCCCCCCGCCAGCTTGGCCCCACCGGCGGCTCCGCCGAGCTGCATGCTGGGACTTGCACCACTCCAAAAGCAGAAGTGACAGCAAACCTGGTGCCAGGGCTGCCAGCCCCCCCCGGGCACAGTGTGGGCACGAACGGGATGGGGGGAGCAGGTCATGGTGCCCTGAGAGGGGACATGGACGTACCCCAACACTGGGAAACGGCCTTCGCACGCAAGGAGGAGGAAGAGGAGGAGGGGGGCGAGGGCCTGGCTCAATGCATTTGCAGAGCCCTCGTGCCAGGGCCCTTCTCTCGGCACCAACGTCCCCAGGGCAGCAGCCTGCGGCCGAGGAGCTCTCGGGGGGCTGTGGGGGCCATCGGGCATTGTCCCGGCTGCGTGGTGCTGCATCGGCTGGGAAATATCCTGCCCTAACCGCAAGCACCGGCATGGCAGCAGGCAGGAGGTGCAGCTGCAGGAAGGGTGCTGCAAGAGCACATCCGCAGCAAACACCCTGCGGCTGCTGC